ATGATAGTTCCTTGAGGACCAAAAAAGTTGGTATCTGGAGAAGAAGGACAAGGATGAGCCACTTGGGCAGTCACCCAACAGGTGTCAGAAGCTAAAGACCACCCTGTCCCCCCTTACCCACATTTACTAAAAACCTTCCACTCAGACCTCACTGGGGCCTCTTGTTCTCTGAGGTTGCCCACTCTTAATTCTCAAGTGTATACTATGGCTTTAATAAATTTATTGTGCTTTGCTAAATTTTTCTGTCATGCTCTTAAATTCTTTTTGTTCTGTGTCAAGCACCTGAACCCTGGTATCTGGTTGAGGCCTTCCTGGGCTTCCCCAGGTGCCTTGGCATCATCTTCTCCTTATTATGATTCCAGAATCTAAGAATCATCGTGTTGCAGTTAAAAGAAGAGAAGAAAAAGGAGTAGGTTATATGTTTCACCCAATACTATATTTTGGGGAATTGTTCAAGTTGATATATATTTATGTCTAGGTGTGTGTCAACTATATATCTATATCTATATCTATATCTATATCTATATCTATATCTATATCTATATCTATATCTATATCTATATCTATATCTATATATCTATATCTATATATCTATATACATATCTATATTTATTTATATCATCATCTATCTATATCATCTATCTAATCTTCCTCTAGTTCATTAATTTTAACTGCTAGATAGAGTATATGGCTATATCACAATTTATTCATTCTTCTGTTGAATTCCTAAGTTGTTTGTAGCATTTTGCTGATTCTTGTGTTGTTGCAATATTGCTTTCTAAGTGGTTACCAATTTAGACATTCATTGCTCCTTATCCTCTCCAACACTGGATATTGCTAGAATTTAGTTTTTTCTTATGTGATGAGTATGAAATGGTATTTTATTGTATTTTTTTTTTTTTATCCTCACCCGAGGACATTTTTCCATTTTTTCTTCAGGTAGAGTGGAAGGGAGAAGAGGAACAGAGAGAGAGAGAAACATCGATGCAAAAGGGACATATCGAGTGGCTGCCACCCGCACAACCAACCAGGGCCGGGGACAAACTGCAACCGAGGTACGCGCCCTTAGCGGGAACCAAACCCGGGTCTCTCTGGACCGCAGACCGATGTTCTAACCGCTGAGCCAAACTGGCCAGAGCTGTATTTTTATTTTCTGTTTCCCTGAGAATTGTTTTAAAAATGCTACTTGCTCATTCAGATTTCTATTTTGATGAATTTTCTTTTTATACATTTTGCTGTTTTTTTTCTAATTTGATATCTATAAGTTCTTTGTATAATCTGGCTATTAATCAGTTGTTTATAACCACTGCAGCAGTTTTATCCTAGTATGTGGTTTGTACTTTTTACTCCTCCCCCCCTTTATTGAATTTAGAGAGAGAGGAAGGGAGAGGGAAAGAGAGATAGAAACAATGATGAGAGAGAACATTGATTGGCTACCTCCTGCATGCCCCACACTGGGAATTTGGTTCATAATCTGGGTACGTGCCCTGACTGGAAATCAAACTGGCAACCTCTTGGTGCATGGGTCGGCACTCAACCACTGAGCCACACTGGCCAGGCTGTCATTATGTTTTAACTTGCATTTCTCTGATGACTAATGACATTGAGCATCTTTTCTTATGCTTATTGGCCATTTGTACATCTTTTCCAGTGAAGTGCCCATTCAAATATTGTGATCCTTTTTAAATTGTCTTATTATTGAGTTTGAAAAAATTCTTATAGAATCTGGGTTATTTGTGAGACAGGACCTTGAAAATAGCTATTTCAGTTAGTTTCTAGTCTGACCACCTGTGTGTGAGAGTGAAATAAAGCAGAGATGAGACAACTTCAATGTTTGATCACTATTATTTATTGTTAATTTTAATGCAATCCAGTTATTTGAAAAAAATATGTTATAGTCAAACCAAGGATCTATACAGCAGTGGCAGATTGTCTTTCTTCCCCTCTGGGTATAAAAGATATTTTTCTATGTGGAAAGGCCAATGAACTACAGAAATAGGTTGGAGCCATTTTATTTCCATGCTATTGCTCTTCCAAATGCTTTTTTTAAAAAAACAAACAAACAAACAAACAAACAAACAAACAAACAAACAAAAAAACCTGGAGCAAATTCTTAGGAGTAGGGAGCAACATCTTTCTTGCTGAAACCAAGTCAGAGCCCTCATTTGGCTCTGTTAATCCTGAACTTGTCCATCCCTGCTGTTTAAGAAATAATACTCTCACTCACTAGCTAGGGAGAAAGAAACACCTGGTGCCACTCTTTAATGCCTCTGTAGCTTACTGATGAAAGATGCATCCCAAAGTAAGGACTTGGTTTTTATAAACTAAGAAACTTTCAACATTACATCTTTGCTTTTAGGATCTTCTTTCTGCTACCATTCAATGAGGCACAACAAAAATCATGGTCCACATTGCTGTAAGAGAAGCTTTGGCCCGACAACTGGTAATGCATTTAGTATAATATTTTGCTTTTTAGAGATGCAGGCTTAGTTGTTATAAATAATGAATAATGAACTCTTAAAAAGACATAAACCCCAAGTTCCATAAATGTTTTGCATTATTCTTCCAAATTTCGTCCCACACATTATTTATTCAACTCAGAATTTTCTAACAATGTAGTCCACACACCCTGTATTCTTTGGAAGGAACCCAATAACAAGGAATAGAGTACAGTTAAATGAAAAATAAACAAATACATTCACTTCTGGAAAGAAGATTTATAGTAATTGCTTGTCTGTTATAGTTTTTTATTTTTTAAATTGCTGCTTGAGTTAATTTCACTTCTATTATTCATCACTAGAATTAACACCTCTGCTCTTGGATATATTCATAGAGTGGAGTGCTGCTACTAAAACTGTGGGAATTTGAGATAGTGCTTCCACCTCCATAGTTATCTCCTTTTCTCTGACAATAATAACCATCTTGTTCATTATCCTCCTTGGTTGTGTTGGAAATAGACTGTCTATAGGAAGTTGTAAATTGTCCCAAGCCACAACTCGGGGAGCTTTCTACTTGTCTTTGTCCATGAATACTCTCATATGTATCAGACTCACTGCTTCTTTCTATTTGGTTATTCTCCGACCATTCCTGGCTATTTCTTCTTGACTGATTGGGGGTTGAGACTATTTTGGGTTTACTATACTCATCATGAGTACCACTTGAAATTGACCCACATCTCCCTTGTAATTTATATTGCTCATAGCTAGAACACCAACCAGATCCCAAACCACATTGTCTAGAACTAGATGAGTGACATGAACCAGACCCATATTGTTCAGTGCCATAATACTGATCAGATCCCAAACCACATTGTCTAGAACTAGATGAGTGACATGAACCAGACCCATATTGTTCAGTGCCATAATACTGATCAGATCCCAAACCACATTGTCTAGAGCTAGATGAGTGACATGAACCAGACCCATATTGTTCAGTGCCATAATACTGATCAGATCCCAAACCACATTGTCTGGAATTAGATGAGTGACATGAACCAGACCCATATTGTTCAGTGCCGTAATACTGATCAGATCCCAAACCACATTGTCTAGAGCTAGATGAGTGACATGAGCCAGACCCATATTGTTCAGCACTAGAACACTGACCTGAACCAGACCCTTGATGATTATGGTGACAGGCAGAACTGTGTTGGCCACAGCTAGAAGGCTGACTCCATTCAGACCCAGATTGGCTATGGGTATAAGACTGACCTGATCCATACCTGTGTTGGCCATAGCTAGAAGACTGACCTGATCTAGATGCATGCTGATCACAGTTTGATAACTGTCCTGAAACAGAACCATGCTGTCCATAACTAGAAGATTGACCATATCTAGATTCATGTTGTCCAGAGCTTGATGACTGACCTAAACCAGATTCATTCTGACCAAAAGCAGGTGACTGACCTGATCCAGACCCATGCTGACTAAAGCTGGAAGACTGACTTGAACCAGAGCTATGTCGGTTGTGTTGTCCACAGCCAGAAGATTGACCTAAGCCAGACCCATGTTGGCCATAGCTAGGAGATTGACCTGAGCCAGACCCATGTTGACCACAGCTGGAAGACTGACCTGAGCTACTTCCATGGTGTCCAAAGCTTGATGACTGTTCTGAAGTAGAACTGTGTTGTCCATAACCAGAGGATTGACCTAAGCCAGACCCATGTTGCCCAAAGCCAGAAGATTGACCTGAACCAGACCCGTGTGGCCCAAAGCCAGAAGATTGACCTGAACCAGACCCGTGTTGCCCAAAGCCAGAAGATTGACTTGAGCCAGACCTGTGTTGACCATAGCCAGAGGATTGACCTGATTCAGACCCATGTTGTTCATAGCTGGAAGACTGGCCTATTCCTGACCCATGTTGGCTATAGCTAGGAGACTGACATGAGCCAGACCCATGTTGACCACAGCTGGAAGACTGACCTGAGCTACTTCCATGATGTCCAAAGCTTGATGACTGCCCTGAAGTAGAACTGTGTTGTCCATAACCAGAGGATTGACCTAAACCAGACCCATGTTGCCCAAAGCCAGAAGATTGACCTAAGCCAGACTCATGTTGCCCAAAGCCAGAAGATTGACCTGAGCCAGATCTATGTTGTCCATAGCCAGAAGACTGACCTGAGCCAGACCCATGTTGACCACAGCTGGAAGACTGACCTGAGCTACTTCCATGTTGTCCAAAGCTTGATGACTGTCCAGAAGTAGAACTATGTTGTCCATAGCCAGAAGATTGACCCAAGCCAGACCCATGTTGCTTATGGCTAGAAGATTGACTTGAGCCAGACCTGTGTTGACCATAGCCTGAGGATTGACCTGATTCAGACCCATGTTTTTCATAGCTGGAAGACTGGCCTATTCCTGACCCATGTTGGCCATAGCTAGGAGATTGACCTGAGCCAGACCCGTGTTGACCAGAGCAGGAAGACTGACCTGAGCTAGTTCCATGGTGACTTGATGACTGTCCTGAAGTAGAACTGTGTTGTCCATAACCAGAGGATTGACCTAAGCCAGAGCCATGTTGCCCAAAGCTGGAAGACTGACCAGAACCAGATCTGTGTTGTCCATAGCCAGAAGATTGACCTGATCGAGACCCATAATGGCTATGGCTAGAAGATTGACTTGAGCCAGACCTGTGTTGGCCATAGCCAGAGGATTGACCAGATTCAGACCCATGTTTTTCATAGCTGGAAGACTGGCCTGATCCTGACCCATGTTGGCCACAGCTAGAAGACTGACCTGAGCTAGTTCCATGATGTCCAAAGCTTGATGACTGTCCTGAAGTAGAACCATGTTGTCCATAGCTAGAGGATTGCCCAAAGCCAGACCCATGTTGCTTATGGCTAGAAGATTGACTTGAGCCAGACCTGTGTTGACCATAGCCTGAGGATTGACCTGATTCAGACCCATGTTTTTCATAGCTGGAAGACTGGCCTATTCCTGACCCATGTTGGCCATAGCTAGGAGATTGACCTGAGCCAGACCCGTGTTGACCAGAGCAGGAAGACTGACCTGAGCTAGTTCCATGATGACTTGATGACTGTCCTGAAGTAGAACTGTGTTGTCCATAACCAGAGGATTGACCTAAGCCAGACCCATGTTGCCCAAAGCTGGAAGACTGACCAGAACCAGATCTGTGTTGTCCATAGCCAGAAGATTGACCTGATCGAGACCCATAATGGCTATGGCTAGAAGATTGACTTGAGCCAGACCTGTGTTGGCCATAGCCTGAGGTTTGACCTGATTCAGACCCATGTTCATAGCTGGAAGACTGGCCTATTCCTGACCCATGTTGGCCATAGCTAGGAGATTGACCTGAGCCAGACCCGTGTTGACCAGAGCAGGAAGACTGACCTGAGCTAGTTCCATGATGACTTGATGACTGTCCTGAAGTAGAACTGTGTTGTCCATAACCAGAGGATTGACCTAAGCCAGACCCATGTTGCCCAAAGCTGGAAGACTGACCAGAACCAGATCTGTGTTGTCCATACCTAGAAGACTGACCTGATCGAGACCCATAATGACTATGGCTAGAAGATTGACTTGAGCCAGACCTGTGTTGGCCATAGCCAGAGGATTGACCAGATTCAGACCCATGTTTTTCATAGCTGGAAGACTGGCCTGATCCTGACCCATGTTGGCCACAGCTAGAAGACTGACCTGAGCTAGTTCCATGATGTCCAAAGCTTGATGACTGTCCTGAAGTAGAACCATGTTGTCCATAGCTAGAGGATTGCCCAAAGCCAGAAGACTGACCTGAGCCAGACTTGTGTGGGCTACAGCAAGAGGACTGACCTGATTCAGACCCATGTTGTTCATACCTGGATGACTGGCCTAATCCTGATCCATGGTTGCCATAGCTAGAAGACTGACCTGAGCCAGACCCATGTTGGCTGTGGCTAGAAGACTGTCTTGAACCAGATCTGTGTTGTCCATAGCCAGAAGATTGACCTAAGCCAGACCCATGTTGCCCAAAGCTGGAAGACTGACCAGAACCAGATCTGTGTTGTCCATAGCCAGAAGATTGACCTGATCGAGACTCATAATGGCTATGGCTAGAAGATTGACTTGAGCCAGACCTGTGTCGACCATAGCCTGAGGATTGACCTGATTCAGACCCATGTTCATAGCTGGAAGACTGGCCTATTCCTGACCCATGTTGGCCATAGCTAGGAGATTGACCTGAGCCAGACCCGTGTTGACCAGAGCAGGAAGACTGACCTGAGCTAGTTCCATGATGACTTGATGACTGTCCTGAAGTAGAACTATGTTGTCCATAGGTAGATGATTGCCCAAAGCCAGAAGACTGACCTGTTTCTGCCCTTTGCTGTCCGAAGCCAGAGGATTGTCCTGCAGTAGAACCGTGCTTTTCATAGCTAGAAGATTGACCATATCTAGAGTCGTGTTTTTTTGATGGCTGACCTAAGCCAGTTCCATGCTCTTCAAAGCCAGAAGACTCTCTTGAGGCAGAACCACGTTGTCCAAAACCAGAAGATTGATGTGATCCAGATTCATATCCACCATATCTTGAAGAATGACCTGAACTTGAACCATGTTTTCCATAACTGGAAGTCTGTCCTGATGTAGACCCATGTTGACCAAAGCCAGAAGACTGACCAAATCCAGATCCATGTTGTCCACAGCTTGATGACTTACCTAAACTGGATTCTGAACTAGACTCATGGTATCTCTGACTAGAAGATTGATTAGAGCCAGATCCATATTTTCCGTAATTAGAGGATTGCCCTGATCCAGAGCCATGCTTTTGTCTTTTATAGCTCCCTGACTGACCACTTGAGTTGAATCCATGTTTTCTTTGACTAGAGGACTGGCCTGAGCTTGACCCATGTTTTTCATAATTGGTTACCCCACTTGAACTAGAACAGTATCCTTGTTCTTCACAGTTTCCTGATTGAGATCCTGCATTTGATTCATGCCATCTCTGTTGAGAGGACTGACCTGAGCCAGATTCACAACCACAATCAGTGGGGTCATAATTTGACCAGTGTTCTTGTCCTCCACAACTCCCTGAGCTGAATCCATGATGCTGGCTTGACTTTGACTTATATTGTCTGTTTCTTAAAGATTCATTTGAATCAGACAAATGATGGTCAGAACTGAAAGACTGATCCTCTGAGTGGCAAACATGCCCTTGTTCTTCACAATCACTTGACTGATTTGCTGAATGTGATCTTTCTATAGAGTTACTTAAATGAGTATAACCAACTTCTTCACTCCTAGACCCTTCTTGCTGATGAGAGCCATGCTTATTTTTCTTATTATCCTTAAAGTGGCCTGAACTTGACTCTCTCCATCTTTCCCCAGAACTTTGCCTGTGCTGCAAACTAGACAAACCCTCTTGATGCCCCATTCTTCTGGAGCTGGATTGAGGCCTATGTTTAATGCTTCCTCTGAAGCCCCTAGAATAGGACTCATTTGATCCTGCACTCCATCTTAAATTGCTGGAAGATGATTCTTGTCCATTGTTCTTCTCTTCTGTTTCACTATGTTCCTCTTGGTGCTGGTGATTATGATCTCTTTGTTTTGACCCTGAAGCTTGGCAGTAATCTTTACCAATTACTTTATTACAAGCCTGAGCCAGCTGGAATATCATCAGAAGATACTCATTGAAATCCACTTTCTCGTTATGGTCTCGATCCAGAATTTGCATGATGGTATCTACAGTGTCTGGACCGTCTGGCTTCTGCATAGGAACAAGGTACACAGGGCAGCTCTGTCAGTATGGACCACACAACCAGCTAACCAATTGAAGGAAGGCTGTAAAAATGTGAATGCTTGGCTTACATAGGTGGAGTTTAATCACGTGGTCCTTTAGGCCCAACTGCCCTATCCTGAGCACAAAGAGAGAAGGGAATATGCAATGAATAATGCAGTGAGAAATAGCTAGAAGAATTTGTAACTGGAAGATTATTTTTTGTAAGGAATGAATCAAATATCAATAATTAGCTATTTATAAATAATAATTTTAGATACCTATATTAATTATCTATGTCTTTTTTATTTGTCCAGCTTAATTCATTAATTCATTTAGTCATTCAACAAAGATTTATTGTGCACCTACTATCTGCCTCACATTGAGTTAGGTGCAGTGAACAAGTTTGGTTCTTGACAAAATGGAACTTAACATTTAGTGGGCCAGACACACAAACATAAAATTACAAGTTACTGTAATAATATTTCTGAGAGTACACCAGAGGGGAGCCACTGGGGGATCAAGGAAGGTTAATGAGAGGAAGTGATGTCTTTTGAGGGATGGGTTGGGGGCAGAGGGCACAATATGAACAGAGAGCTGGAGGTGAAGAAGCCTTGGCTCATGTACAAGGAACAGAAGTAAATTCAGGATTGCTAAATTTCGTCTCAGCAGTCAAGAGATGTGGCTATAGAGATAAATATGGACCAAATCATGCCTTTGAAGGCATGTTAAATAACTTTGGACTTTATTTTAAGAACTGGGAGCTGTTGAAGGATTTGAACTGAGTGTGAAATTATTAGATTTGTATCTAATACTGAGATTGGAAGTAAGAAGTGGCTTGAACCAGAGGACAGCAGTAGTGATGGGGAGAAATAGGCTGTTTTGAAATTGATGAATTTGATAGAGGTTGGAGGATGAAGGAGCATGCTGAGAGAGGAAGTTAGGAATGGCACCAGCTTTCTGCTTTGGGCACATAGAAGAAGGATAGTTTAATTTTTTGTTTGACATATTGAATTTAAGACATTGATAGGAATCTAATTAAAAATATTGAGTATGCAGCTGGTTTGAGTTGAAGATCAAGAGCTAGATCTAAGCTCCCAAATATTTATTTCCAGAACTGACATTTTAAGGTGGTAGTCACTCTCTTTTATGATTTAGGAATAAGATGCTAATTTTCTGGACTCAGAGGCTTTATAATGCCAGAATCTCAGATATGGGCAGTGGTCAGGATGTTTTAGGCTGAAGAAAGACAAAGAAAAGGAAGAAAATGCATTTTAACTACTTTTCAGTTTTTTCTGAGGACCATCTCAGTTGCTGTTCCAGCAAAATTGCTCACATAGGACGTTATTTAATCTGTGGATTTTTGTCTGTTCTTTTTGTAGGATAACTTCTCTTGGTCATGTTATGGAAACCATTACCAGTTAACTTTTGACCTTATTTCAAGCCTTTACCAAACCCTGTTCTCTATCACCGAGTAGGGAGAGTCCTTTGGGAGTTTGATACATGTGACAAAAGATAGGAAGGGAGGAGAAGGGAATTGAAATTGTTTTCAGTTGTGATATGTAGCTCTTACCTTCATAATTGGATGAAATTCATTTTCCAAAAATTTTTTCAATTTTGCCTTGTTCAGCATGTGACACTCTTCATCCTGGGTGGCATATTGGTAGAATATTTCGATCATAGTGACGACGCTTTGTAGGAGTTTAGGCATTTTTTGTAGATTTAATTAACCTAAGGAGGAAAAAAGAGAGACCCACCTCTTATTGTTCCCTTTTCTTGCTTAAATACATAAATAGTTTCAATTATTTGTAAAAATTATTCAGAATTAATGAGGGTTGAATAATTTTATTTTTATAATCAAGAGCCAATCGAGAGTTGAATGACTTGTTCAAGTCATGTAGCGAGAAAGTGATGAAATTAGGAACAGAAACTATATCTCATATTTCCATTCCTGAATGAACATAGGAGCAATGCCTTTCTTTTTTGGTCTCTCTACCAGGAATAATTTTATGAGCTTTGTTCTGGATCTGTAGAAATTCTGGGTGTCAGTCCATCCATTTCCTCAGTTCCTTTCTAGGTCTCAACCATCACACTAGGGAGGGACAAGTCTATTATCTACATGGCATGCCTGACTCCAACTAAGGGGTACCAGTGTCTAAACTAGACTCTCAAGTAAACAAAGTGGTCAAAGACAATAGGCGTAGGTGATATGGAGCTGCGGCAGCTGCTGTCAGGCTCAGCTTCTGTTTTCATTCTTCAAGTGGGGACTGGCCCTCATGCTTTACTGATTAGACAACAGAAAAAGCTCAGTAGTAAAGGAAGCAACCTGCCTACTGGACAGTTTGAGCCCATGATCTTTAAGGAAATGACCCCAAAGAAAGGAGGTACTATCAGTCCCAGTTATCTCTTCACTTTTCTTCTCAATAAAATTAAAGTTATACCAAAGTTCTCCAAAGTATATTAAAAAGAAGCCTGATATCCGGTGCCTCTTCCCCTTAGAGCACATCCCAGATTCTCATAACTTACAGCTCTAAATACTTCTGCTCACTTACCTACTTCACCAGAGGAACAAGTAGGATGAAGACCAAAGCAGCTTACAGGGTGCTTCTAGTTGGGGATAGTGGCCTTTATATAAGGGGAAAATGGTCCATCTTAGGGAGGAGCTGCTCTCTTTGAGATGTCCTAGTTTACTCCCAAATAAGCCCAGCTCCACCTAGTGTTTACCTTCTCACTTCCTTGTTCACCTGAGATTGCATTAGCAGTTCCCAAATCTGAGCAAGTATCAACTCCACCTGTCAGAGTCTCTGGACACTGCAGAAAGACTTTTGCATATTCAATGAAGAATCTAGTATAATGCATTGATAACAGATTATGTGGACTTTAACTAAAGTTGAGTGGAGTGTATGCGGGGATATTGCAACAAATGTCAGAGTGTCATGGAATCTGAAAGATCATCTAATCAAAGTCTTTTTTATTCTAAGCTAAATTTTCTTATGCAGGATTCCAGCCAAGATGTCATCCATGATATTACCTCTTGAAATGGATAATGCCTGCACAGGCCCTCTTGTCTCTTTACCTAACTCTGTTTATCAGACTTTAGTGACCATTTGTCAATGTAGCTTCCTTTTTAGCCACAATATAACCTTAGGAAGAAATCCATGCTCTGTAACATAGTATTCAAAGTCCCTTATGATCTGGCTTCATCTTTTCTCTCCCCCTTCCTCTTACTGTTCCACCAGTGATCAACTACTTAAATTTCCTGAAAATGCCATACTATTTTATGTTTTTTCTTGGAATATGTTTTTTCATTATCCGCCTAGTGAACTCCTATTCATTCTTCAAAACCCACATTCGACACTCTGTAGGAACTCTGTCTTGAATTATTCAAGAGTTATAATTATGTACCTTATTCATAATTTTATTGTAGTATTAATCATACTATATTATAATCTAAAATTGTCTTACTATGAAATTAATGTTTAATATAAAAAATTGAAACATATAGAAGAGCAAAGAAAAAAGTGAAAATACCTATAATTCTACTACCCAGAAATAGCTACTGTTAATTATTTGATTTATATTCTTAAGAAAAAACCACACACACACACACACACACACACACACACACACATATTTGTCTATGTACCTAATCATTTCTGGCTTATGAGCTTGAGAACAGGGAATGTGTGTCATTAATCCCTATGTTATTTGAAGATTCAGCAAATTGCTTAGCACATCATGGTCCCTAATAAATGTTTGTCAAATTGAATTGAATTGAAAGAGGAGAAAGAGTCATGACTCTATTGCTCTTCATTGACCAGCTTCTACATTTTCACAGTAGGACTAGGGTCTGCCCTCTATCTTGCCACTGTTACCTCAGAAGACATGATTTCACCTGACTACAGACTGTATCTTAGCATTGGAATCCACAAGTGCCTTTCTGCTTATCTCTGAGGTCCTTACTCTGTACTTCATCCATTGTGAACATGTAACACAAATTTCACTGATGCTGACTAAAGTTACATAGACTCAAAACTTGTGCAACATGATTTCAGGAGTTTGGGAGAAGTGGTAGCAATTATTGCCAAATGACAAATCACATGATTCAAAATTCAACCATTATGAAGCTATATGTTTTCTTCTAAGAACTACCCAGAGGGCTGCAGAGTCAGTATCCATACTGTGGCTATGTTTCCTCTGTAATTGCTGATTTGGGTCAGGTCATCATGCTTCATCAGAGGAATGAGCTTTTTAAAGGTGTGACTGAGACTGTGGGAGGTGGAATTTGCTGAGTGAAGACTAATTTCTTGCAGGAGTTGGCTCTTGCCAAAGAGGGAAGAGAGGGTTGAGGGTGAAGACAGTTCCAGGTGGACATGTCCTTGGGGCCAGTGTTCTCCTAAACTAGGCGTCAGCAAACTTTTTCTGCAAAAGGCCAGATAGAAAATATTATGGGCTTTGCGGACCAGCTGGACTTAGTTGCAACTATTGAACTCTACTCTTGTAGCATGAAAGCAGCCATAGGTAATATGTAAACAAATGAGCATGGCTATGTTTCAATAAAACTTATTTATTGACACTGACCTTTAAATTTCATATAACTTCATGTCATGATTTTTTCAACCACTTCAGGCTGTAGAAAACATTCATAGCTTGTGAGCCATCCAAAAATTGGCGATGAGCTAGGCATGGCCTGTGGGCTATAGTTTGCCACCCCTGGCCCTCTTCTGTATTTGCTTGTCAGGAATATTTGCCAGGAAAGGAGAATCTGAGGGAAGAGCAGTGCTGGGAAGTGTTAGACCAGAACCACTAATTCTTGTGAGAGAGAAAATGTGCATGTCTGTGAATGTCAGCGTGTCTGAGGTGGTAGATAAAGAGAACAGAACAAAGGATCTTTGGGTGCTCATAAAAGTGAGGTAAATTTTGACTTGATGTAAGGAAGAAAATTTTAACACGAGCTCTTTGCAAAGTGAGTTTATTGTCAGAAATATTATAGAAATGTTTATGTATCTTGTAAGCAGTTAGAATCCTTTCAGTGCTTTATTTCCTGAATATCCTCCAATGTCACCATCCAAAGTTTTGTTGAGCTTTATTTCTTGGTTTGTGTTATGAAAACAAGAAGCATATTTAATGTGCATTTTGGCCTCTTCTCTCCCTTTTGAGAATTACTAATGTAAAAGTTGGAGTCGATTATCACAAAGGTCCTTTCCAAAACTGGGAATCATGATTTTACCAGAATGTGTATTCCACAGTCACAGGATGGATGTGAAGACCCCCCTTCACACATTTGATCAGTGGGTTCCCCCTTGGAGGGAACAGGGTATAGGAGAAGAGATTTCTTATGCTATGTGTTATGTTTTAGTTTTTTTTTAGTGCCTCCATGTGTTGGCAGAAAAAAGGAAATTACTTGCTTTATTATGCCAAACACAATGCTCTGTGGGCTTAAGTGTATCATTTTATTGATTCTCACAACTGTCATATGTTATAGGCATTATTGCCTCTGTTTTTAAGATGAGGAGACTGAGGCCTAGAGAAATGATGTAACTTTCAAGTCATTTAGCTAGGAAGTGGAGAAGACAAGATTCAAACTCAAGTCTTCTTCTGCCTAGGGGTAGCCAGGGAGTGGAGACTATGTCTTGCAAAAGGCAGGGTTGGGAGACAGTTCTTGAGGAATGGAGTGTTTGCTTGTTTATTTATTTATTTTTAGTGGGAGGAAGAGAGAGAGAGAAACATCGATGTGAGAGAGACACATCGAATGGTTGGACAAACTGCAACCGAGATACTTAGTGGGAACTGAACCCAGGACTCTCTGGTCCGTGAGGCGACGCTCTAACCACTGAGCAAAACTGGCCAGGGCAGGGATGGAGTGTTTAACCTAAAGACAAAAACAGCCAACCAACCAACCAACCAACCAACCAACCAACCAACCAACCAACCAACCAACCAAAACTGGTAAGGATAAACTGTGGCATTCCCTTCCACCTCTGTTTCTATGGTGCCATCTGCTGGGTTGTAGGGAAATCCCACAGAAAGTGTTTCTCCTTGTCTTTTCTCTTTTCCCTCACTTCCCCATGCAATTTCTGACAGTTTTTAGTCTCCTTGAATGATGAGACTATGTCAAAAAAATAGGGACATAACAAACAAAGAATATTGATGGTGATGATTTTGGGGTGACTGGAGTTAAAAGAAGTTATCTATAATATAAAACTGGTCAGCAAATATTTCCCTCCATATTCTTCTCCTCAGGTACAAGGGTCATTTTTTCTCTTATCTCAAAAAAAATCTGATATAATTTTACAGCTTAGCATGTATTTGGAGTAGGGGATATGTGGCAGGCATGGTAATATATCTTTCAGCTCCAGACCCAGGCCCTGGAATAAACTCTGCTTGATTAATGGTCTTCCTATTCACTTGTTTCTCTTTCTCCTCTTAGTATTCTTCCCTTTCTCTTCTAAGACCTCAAAAATGCCCAGATGTTTGGAAGCCAGAGCCCATTCTTATTTGTATTCTCTTGCTTATTTTGTCAACATCTTTCTCTTTCCATCTCCTTAACTTGCTACTTGATGCTCTTGTTAGCATTAGCATGGCCAATCACAGCCTGTATCCCCTGCTTCTACCTTATTGACGCTTTCTGCATTCAGGTGTGGTCCACCAAAGTGGGGAGATGGAGGAGAGTGATTGGAAGTGTTCCCCAGGCACCCATCAAATATTATA